ATCAGTAACAGGGCAACTGAGGATGATATGCAATCTACTGTTCAAAATCACAGCTCTTCAGTCTAACCTCACTCTTGCTTCTGCTATGGTTATTTGTGTACTCTCCTTCTCCTTTTTCCTTCTTTCCCCCTTCTTTACCTTGTCCTTCTCTTCTTCTTTTCCCCTATACTTCCCATATACTTCCCCTTCCCTTGAGTCTTCTCTTCCCCCTCCCCTGTCTCCTTCCCTCTGACTCCCTTCTTTTTACTTCTGTCTCCCTCCCCAGCTCTAAGCCTTAGTGATGAGGTTTCAGTTTCTTAAGGAATTGCATTTTCTGAAGACAAACTGATTCTTTAAAGAGTCATAAGGAGAAGGGGTATTTGCTATTTTTTTGAGGGAGGCCCTGAGGAAAAATTTAAACTACTAAAATATATTGAAGTGTAAGCTAATGAAGAAACTTCCTAGTAATTAGATATCATAAGAAATAGGAAATGATTTCCCCAAAAGTTTATGGAACCTATTCCATTGAACATCTTTAAGAACAAGGTAGACAAAGACAGACCTGAGCAAAGTCAGAGAAGGGGCTTCCATTCATAAAGGCCATAACACTGTCTGAAAAACATGATATCAATGCCAATAGAAAATAACTATGTAATAATGCTAAGCTAGTGCCTTCAAATGCCGATACGTGGGTGATGGTGTCATTTTGCTTTTTTTTTTCCTTCCATTGCCTAGAAGATGACAGATGACTGAAGATAGGTTTCCCATTTCTGATCTGAGTCATTGCAAGGCCTACACAGAGCGTCATTTCCAGAGTGATCAATGACTGCTTGCACATCTTGATTTGTGTATCATCCACCCACCAGAAAAGCAAGCATAATTTATTTTCCTGTCTTTAGAAAAACAACAGATTTTCATATAAATTGTCATCTAAACTAGACAATTCTTTTAAAATCAGGCTTCAGCAGAAGTCCTTTTTTCCACAGTTTATATTATACCTACAATTGGCTAACCATTTAAAATGTTTTTTGTGTACTTGGTAGTTGGGCAGGACTGGTTTTATTTTGGAATTTCTCAGGGATATTTCTGTTTCAAGATTTTGAAAAACTAGCTAGAGTGAATGCCTCAGCCTTTTAAAACATAAAGCCAAGGTGGTCATAGCTGCCAGTTGCCACTAGTTATTGGACTTCAGAATGTGTCTAGAGTGTTAGAGCAAATAAATGTTGCAGGTTTCATTTCTGAAACTTTGTTTTTTGTGCTGGTAGTCTTTTTTCCTTGCTATGTGAGATTAAAAAAAAAACAAAAAAACAACCACCCACCATGGATAATTGGCTTGAAGAAATTTGCTGTTTCTAATAAAGTGTTTCTAGCTTTCTTCATATGATGTTTGTTCCAGAGTGTCTTATTATGACATAATTTCACAGGAAATGACAAAACCATGACTAAAGATAATTAGAAAATTGTCACTGTTTTACTTTTGGAAAAAAATATTTCAAACCATTGGCTTAAATGTTTTGTCTGAAGTCAGTCCACGTCAGTCATGGTTTTGGAGGCTCACAGTTCAATTTGACACATTTAGAGTATCTTACATAGGCAGTTTGGTGAGAAGATGTGATCTCTGATCTCTTGAAGCTTATAATCTGGTTAGTGTCAGGTATGAATCCCATAGAAAATAACTCAATTATAAGACAGAATGTGAAATTGCTATAGGAACGATACAAAATTCACTGTTCAGATCACTTCCAACTGAGATAGATACTTATTGTTGAACTAAAGCAAAGAAATATTCTTAAATTGATTGGAGAAATCATAATGATGTGTAAAGTGACTATCAGTGTTTCAAAATAGTGTTCATTTAGATTTGTCTATTCACACAGTTTATCAATATATGGTACAACTTCTGTGGCTAACTGAAGATATAGGTCGCTTTCTAGTCTTCAGTGCTAATTCTAATAGTCAGTATTGTATTCTTTATTTATAGTCCTTATGATTTCCAGTACCTCGCAACTCCTGCCAAAGGAGGATTCTTAATGCCTTTTTAAGTATAATCATAAACCATACTAGAGAGCTTGGAACCTGGGTATTGGCATATGGAATTTTGCAAGCATTTATAACTTGTGGTACATTTTTTAAAAAAATCATTAAAGCTATACAGACATTGCTTTTGCCATCTAACATTTCCTCTGTTTACAAGTATAGAATGTTGGAGCTGGAAGGGCGCTTACACGACATGTTGCTAAACCCCTTTGATTTTACTAGTCGGGAAACTCAGGTCCAGCTATGTAGAATCCATTCATCTATGCTATGTAGAATCCATACAGCTATGTAGAATCCATCTGTTAAATCTCTGGACAATGTGCTTTATCACACTGATTCCCGTATTCAGTTTCTTCATATTTCCAGCAGCTTTCTGGTGTCTTCTTTCATAAGGATGTAACATATTTACCTTAATTTCTCTTCATTATTTATTGGGCATTGAGTTAGGAACATTTGTGGAGCCAAGTAACTATAGTACTCAGGATCTTAGTCTGAGGTTGATTCAGTGATTTTTTTTGGGAGGGGGGTGGTAACATTTTCTTCCTCTTGGCTTAGCATAGCATATCTTTTATAAAACAATCTCTGAGTTCTTCAAAGAAAAGCATTGGAATAAAGCTGCTGTCATTTTAACCATGCAGTGTTGGGGCTAGTTGAACAAATCAGCAAGGCTCCTACCTACATGTTATTTCCTTGTAATAGCCTATCAATAAGAAGCCTCCATAATCAGAATCTTTCCTGGTATTATTTGTAAGAGTGATGGTTCTCTAGTTGTACTTATTAACTTATGAAATTTTAGAAAGGATATAACATTCATGCTTAAAATAAAAGAACAGGAAATAAGTTATTTCTGCAATATGATCAGAAGTAATTATCTAAAATCAATAGTGAATATTTCTTTAAATGAAGGTACTTGAATGCTAGAAGCTTTAATTGCCTAATAGGTTCATAGGATGTACTATACTTGGCACTACTGATATAAAGAAGAAATGAAAAACATTGACCTTAGGGAGCTTACCTTCTACTGAGGAGTCATATCACCTATATAGATAAATGTGTAAGCAATAGTTTGAGTAGGGAGAGAGCACTAATGACTAGAGGAATAAGGAGGGACTTCCACTAGGAGATGTCCCATAACTGAAGTCTTGAATGAAGCTAGGGATTCTGAGGAGTGAATTCCAGGCACAGAGTGTAGGAGACATAGAGGTCTGAGATTGAATGTTGAGTTCTGAAAAGACTGTAGTGGCAACTTTACCTGGTGCATAGGAGAATAATGTAAAATAAACCTGGAAATGTAAACTGGAACTATATTGTACCAGGCTTTAAATACCAAGTTGAGGAATTTGTGTTTTGTCCTAGAGGTGCAAGAACTACTTAAGGTTCCATGGAAATGGCATTCATTGTCAAATTTTTGCTGTAGTAATGTTATTTTGACAGCTGTATGAAGGATGGTTTGGAAAAGGGAAACAGTAGAAGACTCTTTTTCAATAGTTCAGATAAGGTCTGAGCCAGGTTGATGGCCCAAATTCCTTGTATTTGACTACTTTTAATACATTTGTATTTATGATGTATCCTTGTTATGTCCCTTATTAGCATGTAAAAGCCTTTCCAGTAAAGATTTTTTTTTTGTATTTGTTTCCCCAGTGCTTAGTATAGGACCTGTCATAAAATAGGTGCTTAAATATTTCTTGATTGATCAGTTGAGAGTTATGAGAGATCTTGAGGATCATTAATAATTGGCTATTTATTGGTTGTGGAGTATGAGGGAGAGGGAAGATTGAGGATGACTTTGACTTTATGAACCTGGGAGTTTATATTGGAAAGTTGGTGGTACTCTAAACAGAAATATGGACATTTGGAGGAGGGTCTTTTTTTTTTTTAAGGGGGAGAATTTAATGAGTTCTAGTTTGAACATGTTGAGTTTGAGATATCTAAGAGGCATCTAGTTGGAGATATTCATTAGAGAGTTGGTGATAGTTGATTGGAGATGAAGAAAACCATTACATTTGGATATATAGATCTGGGAATCTACTGCATAAAAATAATTCAGCCCTAGATAACTGATGAGATCACTTAAGAGATCACCTTGGAAGACTGAGGGTAAAGACTTAGGAGGCTGGGGTGGAGGGCAGCGGCACACACCGGTACGGGTGGGACACAAATTAATGCAGTGATGGAAGTTGGGAAGGAACATACAGAAGAACTAGGGGAAAGTAATAGTGAAAACTGAGAGCAGAAAGATTATGTAAGAGAAGAAGAAGGGAGTGGTCAAGAGAGGTCAAAAAGGATAAGGATAGGAAAAAACCATTGGATTTAGCAATTAATAGGTTTGTTGGTAATTGTAGAGAAAGAAAGTAGTTTGTTATGTATTGAGCTTGGACCACAGTTTTCAAGAGGTTGAAAAAAGAGCCACAGAAGAAGAAATTGTGGAACAGAGTGGTGAAAGTTTTTTCTAAGAGTTTGGCTATGAAAGAGAGGAGAGATAAGAAAATGACTTCTGGGGATAGTAGGACCAGTAAATGATTGTGGACCAGTTGAAAGTAGTGTGTGAATCCCAGGTAATCTTTAATATGGGTATTTGGTGTATGCCAGTAAGTTCTACATAAATGGGATTTTTTTTTCTAAGAAATAAACTGAGGGAGATGATGAGGAAGAAATATTCTATTTTTTTGTCTTAAGATTCCCCTCAGACTCATTGCTGTTTATTTGTAACATAGTATTCCAAGTAAATGTGAGTGTTTCTTTGAGCCTGTTCTGTGTCAAATGATTTTGTCCCTGGTAAGATATTGTAACCATTCTGTCAGCTGAGTTAGAAAAAGGTTATAAGGTACTTTGTATGTTCCCAACATTTTGTGCTATTTAGCAGCAGAAGATTAAGTGTTGTTTTCAGTGTTACTTACCAGGTTCTGGTGCTTTGGCAGTTTTTCAATTAGGTTGCACTCATACTGATATGTTTTCCTTTGTGTTACTCCCTGCTCTGATTTTAGGACAAGAACAAGAAACTTCGCCCCCTGTATGACATTCCTTACATGTTTGAGGCTCGAGAGTTCCTCCGGAAAAAGCTGATTGGGAAGAAGGTAAGAAATGCATTCAATTTATGGAAATTGGTGGTATTTCGTCACAACCATGGCTTATTCCTTCATTGGTTTTTTAAAGCCAAGCAGTACCTGTTCTACTGTGGTTGAATCCTGAACAAACTACAGTGTTCTATTAGATGGGACCCTGACCAAAGGCTGATTGGCAACACTAAGACCATGTTCCCTACTAGGGTTCAAGCCCAATGTCATGTGCCGTAATTGCACACTTCCTGGAACCCTCTTCCCTTGACTGACCCATTTTGCTCAGACACTTCCACTTAAACTTAATATGTGATATTGCTGGTGACCAGTGGCTATTGCATCTGCACCTGAAAAATTGGTTAAGGCTTTATTTCAGAAGATAGTTCTCCTTGAATTGTGAAAAGGCTAAGTAGGGGACATTCCTTCTTCTCTTCCCCCCGCCCAAAAAATAAATCAGTGAGCTTTAAAACAATTCTACAGTCTGTGTTGGAGGAATACTTTGTGTTGTTGAATTGAGAAGACTGTTAACTCTGGTGGTTTAATGAACTTGTGGAGTACTTTGTGTTTACAACAGAATAGTTCTGTGTTCCTTCCTTCAATGCATTTCTTTGTTTTCTTGGTGTTAGCATGTTGGTGGTCTCATTGTCATCATATTTGTACAGATGGTTACTGAATCTGTCATTGAGTGGGACTGCTATTTTGCCTCTGGAACCTACCCCTAAATTTCTTCTCACTCTTGTATCTTAAGTGTTCGAAACAGTCATAGATAGGATCATTGGTTGGGAGCGAGATGGGACCTTTAGACCCTCCTTTTACAGATGAGGAATCTGAAGGAGTTAAGAAAGTTAAGCAATTTGCTTAAGATCACACAGGTAGGATTAATGGAGGTGGGATTGGAAATCTAGGACTCTTTGCACTGGTCCGTATTGCCTCTTGTAGCTTTTGTGTCTTTAATAAAAATGAAAGTGTCTTTCTCATAGACCTGCAGGGTAAATGATGGTAAACTAAAGAAAGATTGTTTGATTTATCTTCTTAACTAGGAAGTTTGTGATTTGTAGCTAAGTTTTTGCTGTGGTTGTATGATATGTCTCCAGGAAGATATCTGACTGCACAGAAGTCAGTGTTTATAGGGAAATCATGTTGATTTAACCCTTGATTTCCCTGTTAAATGAATTGTAACTTGTTTTGTGAACTGCTCTTTGCAGTTCACAACTGAACACGTGTAAAAATACCCTAGAGAAAGAGTTTCTTCCTCTTTCAACTTTTACACATTTCCATTAAAGATAATAAAAGAAAAAGCAATATTTATACCTCACAACATTCAAAACAAAATACCTAAAAGTATAATCCTCCACATTAATTAGAAAACAATATTGATAAATCCTATTTGGGGGTTGGTTTCAGCTAATACTTTATATTACGTGCATAATGCAAGTTAAAACATTAATAAAAACAGAATTTGTCTTTAGCATTAACCTTGGAGGAGAAGGGTATTGATGAGGAAGGAAAACACAGCCTGTGGGATGCTAGGATCCACCTCAGCTCAATTGCTTATTATCTAGAACTTCGTAAGGGTATGTCTTTGAGTCTTCAGAACCCGTGTTAATAAGATAACCAAGTTAATATCACATTTTCTGGGAGCAGCTAGGTGGTGCAGTGGATAGAGCACTGGCCCTGAAGTCAGGAGGACTGAGTTCAAATCCAGCCTCAGACCAAACACTTGACACTTCCTAGGTGTGTGACCCTGGGCAAGTCACTTAACCCCTATTGCCTTAAAAAAAATTATCACATTTTCTGTACTTTATAGCTTATAGAGAGCACTTTCTTTAAGACAGCCTTTTTAGGTTGGTAAAGATTGTATTTTCCCTCCCCCTCCCCTGTATTTTTAATTTGAAGTAACTGAGGTTAAGTGACTTAAAGTTATATAGCTAGTAAGCATAAGAGGTAGGAATCAAATTCCTATCTTTCACCTTGTGACCATGATTATATCATGCTACCTCTCAAGTTAATTGACAATCAAAAAGACAATAAATTATATTAATAATCACTAGGGTTGGCCATACAGAATTTTCTGATTCTGATATAAGGATCAATAAAAATCAAACTACATTGCCAAGAAAAGATATAACATTTCAGAAGTCTTCAGTGGATAAATTAAACATATGCTTTGTATGACTTACGTTTACTGGGAATGAATTGGATGACTTTTCCAGTTTCCTATGACTCTTGTCACTTCCTCTTATCTCTACCCTCTTTTTGTATCATTCCTGAATCTGCTTTTTTTTCTTCCTATTGATTAATTATGGATTGTTCTTTAAAGTTTAGTCATCTTAGACCAGTTTTCCCTCTATTCCACTGTTTCATTTATTATCACACATGGCTTCTATATAGATTGGCATGTCACTTGTTCCCTTAAATTTATTTTTCATTTATGTGCAGGATATATATTGTGATAATGGCCTGAAGAGGTGGGTTGTAGAATGGGTGTGTGTGTGTGTGTGTGTGTGTGTGTGTGTGTGTGTGTGTGTGTGTGTGTGTGTGTGTGTGTGTGTGTGTGTGTTTTGTATTGTGGATGAATTTTGCTGAATCTTATGGTACAGCCAGCAAAAAAGATATCTAGATATGATAAAGTCATGTTCTTGAGTGACTGTAATTGGTTCTTATGTTAAATTTTATGAAGCTTGGAAAGATACCAGCTCCCAACTCTCTCTGCTATCCTGGCTATCTTATCTACTACTAAACATCTCGTCAATACCTTGATTTTATGTTTTGATTTTTGGGGTTTTTTTTTTAGGCAGTTGGGGTTAAGTGACTTGCCCAGGGTCACACAGCTAGTAAGTGTCAAGTGTTTGGTCTGAGGCCAGATTTGAACTCAGGTCCTCCTGACTTCAGGGCCAGTGCTCTATCCACTGCACCACCTGGCTGCCCCAGATACCTTGATTTTAAAACTTAATGTCTTTTCTCTACTCTTCCTTTCTCGTAGTGCATCTCATAAGATTAATATGAGATCAAATGAGCTAGATCACAAGTATCTGTCTACAGCAAAAATAGTGCTCAGACAAACATAGCTTTTCATCAGAATCAAACCAAAATGGAATAGAAATGAGTAGCAATTTGCATTAGTTGTCTTTAGGCCTCCTCCTTATTTTCTTTTAGAAATGTCTTGATTTAGTTTAGACCCTGCATACGTGGGCTAGAAGGCTACTGTGCTTCCAGTGCTTCTGGAAACCTGTCCTAGCCCTTGACCAGATACCTGTTTATTCTTAATTAAATCAACACTGTTTGGGCATATTGTACCTGTACCTATAATTCTGGGAAATCTTTAGTCCTTGGATTTTGAATGACTTCATATGACTATAATGGTGGTCTTTCTTGGGGAATCCCTTTTTCTGTTGGGGTGTAAAGCTACAGTTGCCTGTGTATTGGAGTTTACTTGTGTTAAGCTCCAATGCTATCCCTGAAAGTAACATTTTACAAGTGATGAATGCTTAACCACTTTGGGTGGGGAGCATGATGTAGTTCAACTCTGCTGGGCTGGAACATCCCAGTTTCAAGATGCTTGTCCTGCTATCCTTTACTTTCCAGTTAAAATCAGATAGTGACTATGCTTTCTAGAAATATCAGTTGTGACAATAAATACCCTTGTTTTCTTGAGGACCATGTATACCTCCAGTGGGGAGGAGTGGTGAATAGAGCATTGTACCTTTCTAGTGGTCACTTTAGTACATCTGCAACTGTTCTACATTGTATATGGTGACTAAGAGGTAAGGAGAGAGAATCTTTATTAATTTTTTGATTAGCAGTAATGAATTAGGACAAATTATAAAAGTTTAAAAGAAGTAATTAAAGCAAAACTTAACTACCAGAGTATGTCCAGTTAAAGGAGTTTCTCACTTATATAGAAATGGGATCAAGGTCACTTAGCTGCTTGTTAACTGAAAAGAGAGGATACCCTCTTAGATCTTGGTATAGGAAGCCTGGAGAGTTATGAGGCCAGGCTGGCCTGGGTGCCCTTCTTCCTGAGGGAGAGGCTGAAGTAGCAAGGAATGAGTACTTGCAATGTATGAATTCCAGGGTTGGAGTGAGGCTTCAGGATGAAGAGCTGAGGTCAAGAGCAGGGGAAGGTCAGAGTGCAGCCTTGAGAGGGATGAAGAAGGCATTGTGGCTTACCTGGAGATAAATTCACTCTTCATAAAAATTTAAAAAGTATTTATAGCATCATCTTGTCTCCCGTTTAGGAATTTTCTCTGTAGTATTCTTGATAGGTCCTTATCTGGCCTCTGATTGATTTTTCTAACAACAGGAAATTCATTATCTTACAACAATCCATTCCATTTTGGGGAGAAAAAAATGATTTGTCTATGGTATCACATCTACAAGTTTATAGTCACCACTGTGATAGTAGCTCTGGAGTCATTTGTTTTGTTTCTATTATCTTCTACTAACTTGATAGAACAACTTACTCTTCCATTGCCCAGGTATTTCGATAGTGGCCAGTTAGGACAATAGCGCTTCAGTTCCTACAAAATGAGCATGTGTGTAAGTAAGTATGTACATACACAATGTGTGTGTGTGTGTGTGTGTGTGTGTGTGTGTGTGTGTGTGTGTGTCTGGGCCTGTGTGTTTGTCTTGGAGTTGCTTCAAAAGCTGCCCATGTTGCTGTACTGCTTTATGGGGTGGAGTATGCTCACCACCCCCTGGTTTACCATCTGCTCCTTTCACTGGTGGCTTTGACTGATAATGTATATCCTTGGTTCAGAGCTCATCTACACATTTCCCCTTTGGAACTACCCATTCTTATTGTGCTAAATGAATGAAAAAAAAAAATAACAAGGATGACCTTTACTTTTTTCTTGTTGGTGCCCTTTTTAGGCAAGTGTCCTTAATAAAAATCATTAGGTTTGCAATAATTTTAAAAATAGTGTAGTAGTTGTTCTTGTTATTTAGTTAAAGCAGAAAATATTAGTCATTTTGGCGGCCACAGGAGTCTTGCATCTAGATCATTCTGCTTAATGCTA